ACAAAACAAAACAAAACAAAACAAAACAAAAGCATTTGGCTTCAGCAGACACAAATTATGATGCTGGGCCAACAGGAAAACACGTGAACTGACGTTCTTGTTAAACAAAACAAAAGTAAACAAAACACAAAACTGGGTCTTCTGGATTAACCAGGCTGTTCCAAGGGGAAAGCAGAGTGCTGCAGTGTGGTGAGCAGAGGCTGGTCAGGGCTTGGCAGGCAAAGGAAATGAGATGTCCAGGAAGGAAAAGCAAAGTCAGATGCTTGACTCTGAAGAGCATTTAAATATCTAATATAAAATCTAATGCATTTTGTAGATCCAAAATGAGGAGTTGGGTCTTCAGTTTATTTTTTTTGCACTAATTTACAGTTTGTTCTTTATGATTTCTACTTCTTTCTCTCCCTCTTTCCTTTTATTAATGCCAATTGTCTTAGTTTGCTTTTCATTACTGTGATAAACACCAAGGCCCAAAGCAACTTGCAGAAGAAAGGGTTTATTTTATCTTATAATTCCCTATCACAGTTCATTGCTGAGGAGACAGGGCAGGAACTCAAGGCAGGAAGTGGAAGCAAGAGCTGAGGCAGAGACCCTGGAGGAGTGCTGCTTAGTGGCTTGCTTCCCTGCCTTGACTGGTTTCTTATACAATCCAAGACCATCTGCCCAGGGCTGGCACCACTTACAGTGAGCTGGGTCTGCCTACATCTATCATTAATTAAGAAAATGCCACACAGACTTGTCTACTGACTAATCTAGAATGAGGTATTTTCTCCGTTGAGATCTCCTCTTCCAAAGTGAATATATTATTTTTATGCCTTTCAATACACTTGGTTTCTCTTGGTTATATTGCAGTGAAACACTCATCAATTGGCAGTCCCTTGTCTCTAAGCAACCCTAGATTTTGCAATACGTAGTTGTATGCAATTCTAGGAAAATAGCACATGGTTTTTATTCATCCCTGTACAACACACTGTAATCTAGTTGTGGCATAGAAAAGAGATTAGATTTTTGGAATATACAATTTAATTAAACCAACATTATATCTAATTTTATATTTTCTAAGTTATCTATACATTATAGTTTTGATATGAGATGTTTTCATTCATGCAAACACTTGGTCCCCAGTAGTAAGACTGCTGGGTGAAGAGGGGTGTAGATAGAAAAAGTAGGTGACAAAGGACATGGATCTCATGTTTAGGGTTGGTCCTCACTTCTTACCAGTCTCTTGGCTTTCTATCTGTGAGTTAAGCAGTCTACACATATCATGTTCTCCTTACCAGAGATACAGGAGGAATACACCCAAGCATGATGGGTAGAAAGCTCTGAAACCATGGGCCAAAATAATCCTTTCCTTCTTTACTTTGTATCAGGTATTTTGTCACAGCAGTGGAAAGTCTGATGAACACAGAAAGTGGTACCAGAGATAAAGAGTTTGTGGTGGTTTGAGTAAAAATGGCACCACCCATAGGTCCAAAGGCAGTTGTGTTATTAGGAGGTGTGGCCTTGTTGTAGATGTGGCCTTGCTGGAGGAGGTGTGTCACTGTGGATACAGGCTTTGAGGTCTCATACACTCAAGCTAGGCCTAGTAGGACAGTTTCCTTTCAGCTGCTTGTGAATCAAGATGTAGAACTCTCAGCTCATTCTCCCGAACCATGTCTGCCTGCATGCTGCCATGCTTTTTGTCATGATGATAATGGATTGAACCTCTGAAAGTGTAAGCCAACCCCAATTAAATGTTTTCCTCTATAAATGGTTATGGTGACTCTTTACAGCAATAAAACCCCAACCGAGACAGGTTGTCTAAGCCTCATTGTGTGTGTGTGTGTGTGTGTTTAAACCCTTTAATTTGTAGGAATTAATTTGTGGAAGGATTTGGAAGAATTTGGACTAGAGAAGCCATAAAATTATTCTGAAAGTATCTCAAAATGCTGACAGCCATGTAGATAGTAAAGGCTATCATCATGAGGTTCCAATAGAAACATTGGTTCTATTGGGAACTGGGCTAAAGACTATTGTCTACATTTTGTCTGTGTCCTTATACGTTTTGGAAAGAATGAGTTAACAGGTGATGGTTTGGACTGGGGAGATAGCTAAGCTGTAAAGAACACTTAATGATATTGTAGAGCACCTGAATTTGGTGTGTTCAGCATTCATGTATAGTAGCTCATATCCACCTCTAATTCTAGCTCCAGGGAGATCTGATGCTCTGGCCTTCTCTGTCACCTTCATAGACATGTACATATTTTTCTCTGCACATATACATACAAAATTAAAAATAAAATGAAAATATTATTAACTAATTAATCTAGTAGAAGAATCCCAAATGTTAACTAATTAATCTGATGGAGGAATCACAATTACCCAGCATTTATGTTGTTACAGATATTGACAGAAACAGTTAGACAAGTTTATCATGAGAATTGGGAACAAATGCAAATTAGAAAGACTTAAAGAACTAGGATGTACAGAAATTATTGGGGGAAATTTGTGGTTCAGGAAGGCTTAGCTCCTAGAGCGAATACAGCATGGAAATAATGTCAGTTACTATGCACTGGGGCCAAAGGCATGATGTACGTGCGCATACCTCAGGATCTGGCAAGACCCCACGTACAAGCTAGCAAATGCAAAGCTAAAGGGAAAAGAACATCTGTGGGCACATCTAGGGTTACCAAAGGATTCATTTTACCATTCATAATTGCCAAGGTACTCAGAGGTCAAAGTGACAGAGGTCCAGTGGGGTGTAACTGTTGGTCAAGCTGGTGGCAGACTTTGGTATCGTTTGTGAGGTGCTGGTTTTTTTTTGTTTGTTTGTTTTTTGTTTTGTTTTCAGATATACACAATGAGAGAGTTAAAAGGTCACCTAGGCTACAAAGGGAACCCTGGGAGGCCAGGCAACAAAAGGCAATAGTGGGGTCCCTCCATTTAGCCCCTGAGACGTGGAAGCTTACGTTGCAGTGGAGATACATGGATGGCAGGAACATAAAACGTGCATTGAGAAATGTGGCATGTAGTGAGTGTAATCAACCCCAGAAGGGTTTATGTGGGCTGCAAATGGCAAGACCTGTCGGCTGCTTGGAGCTCATGTACTCTGTGTGCTATACATGGAGCTATAAAATTTACTGTTTGCTCTGCTGGCTTTCAACCTTTCTTTGCTAGTCTTGTATGATTCCGTTTTGGAATGAGGATGTCTATTTTGCACCAGTGTGTCTTAGAACTGACCCCTTTTTCTTTGTGATTTATAGAGGCTCACAGGTTCTAGTTAGCTTTGGATGTCAGAAGAGATTTTGGCTATGCACTTTTCAAGAAACTGTTAGGATCTGGAGATACATGGAGAAGGCTTAAGTTATTTTTGCACTCCAAGATTGCTATGAGACTTAGAGGGGCACAGATGAAATGTTAGTTGCTTTCCACCTTAGGAGGTTGGGCCTAGGAAGAGAAAAGTCACAGGTAGGGGGCTTGACTTTGAAGGCTGTATCTGATTCTCGATTCCTACTTCTTTGTCTCTCTGACTCCTGTCCATCAAGTTGTGAATTGCTTCTCACAAGCTTCACTGACTTGATGCTTGGCTTCATGATGTACAGAAACCTTCTTTCACCATGTAAGTTGTTATGTCAGATACTTTGTAAAAGAAAGAGAAAGTCATACATATCTTCAACTTTTCTGTTTCTCTTGTGAAAATCAGAATCAAAGTCAATTGAGAAAAAAGCAAAGGTCAATTAGTCTGTGTATTGATGAACTCAAAGCTTTTGAGTGGGAAGAAGTAGGCTTAAAGATAACACTAGGAAAAGTAATCATGGCAATACTAAAGTGCTGAATTCCGAGTGTTGAGATGCCTATTGAGCTGTGTGTCCAGGCAGGCAATCTCCCTGCCATATACTCAGCTAAGTTTATGGACTGCACAAGAGTGGCTTGCCCTCATGAGTACTGTCAACATGTATTGTTCAGATATCATTGTTCACACTTTAAGAATTCTAGGAGGGAGCTGGAAAAATGTCTCCGTACTTCAGAGCACTTGCTGATTTTGTAAAGGACCCTGGTTCAATTCTTAGCTCCCATATCAGGGGACTTACATTGCTTGTAACTTCAGTTGTGGGATAATTTGAAGCCTTCTGGCCTCTACTTTCCCAGGCATTTGAACACATATAGTGCACACAAATTATGGAAGGTAAAGGAATAGAAGTACACATAACTAAAAAAAGAATCCATTAAGGAAAAAAAGATCTTTAAAAAGAAAAAAGTAATTCTGGAAGCTGAACATGGTCACATACACCTGTAATCTCAGTGCTGGAAAGGGAGAGGCAGCAGAATCACCAATAGTTCAAGCCAGCCTGGTCTAAATACTGAGTTCCAGGACACTTAGGGATGCCTAGTTGAGACCTAATCTTTGAAAGGTAGGAAGGAAGGAAGGAAGGAAGGAAGGAAGGAAGGAAGGAAGGAAGGAAGGAAGAAAAGAAAGAAAGAAGAAAAAAGAAAGAAAGGACAAACTTAATAAAGAATTTTGGAAGTATGACAACATCTTGACACTGATAGCTTACTTGTGAGTGGGCTTAGCTTTCTCTGAGACTTGTGGGGCCATAAACCATAATGAGAGAGGAATCCTGTGAGCCTATAATGTGTAATTAAGAATAGCTATAGAGGAAGACTACTGAAGTTGCATAAAATGACTGCCAATTGAGCTTCAAATATTTGTTAGTAGACATATTTTGTAAATATAGAATAACATTTGTGAAAACTTGGTCAGAATACTTTAGTCAAGCCCATGCCAGAAGACATAGCTTGAAGACATGACCTAAATAGATCCAAGGAAGTCCCTTTGAAAGTAAATAATCAGTGCCATTCAATCTAATAATTGCAATTATTAATTTTATTTGTTTGAATAAACATCATGAACAAATTTGTCTGTTATAATTGAGAATACTTTGGATTATATAACCCAACTGAAAGTTGTTTCTGTTTACTTCACAAGGAATGCAATGTTAATTCTGAGGTGTTGATGTTTTACAATGCCTGATCAAGACACAAAGGTGAAGAACACAGAGAAAGCAGCCGAGAAGAAGCAACAAGGAACCACCACCAGGTAAACGAGTGTCTGTAGTCATTCACAGGGCCAGTGGCATTGACGGCTTAACGCTTTTGTGAGAAGTTATCTCCTGGACTGCAGTGTTTACACAAACACTGAGCCCTTTCTAGAGTTTGGAAAGAAATGTTTGACAGGCATACCATGATCTACAGAGACAGACTTCCAAGTGGCCATTCCCCATCAGTAGTAATGTGACCTTATGCTGCTCTTTCTTCTAGGGACTATTCAGATCTTAAAAGACTTCGGTGCCTGTTGAACGTTCAGTCAAGCAAACAGCAGGTAGTGTTTTCAAAGGATGTGGTGTGTGAATAAACTCCATGTGTTTTTGTAGGGTCCATTTCACTTCCTTGTGTACACTCTCTTTGTTCATCCAGAGTTGTCCTTGCTTCCTCTGGCTGCTGCTCTCACCTTGGTCAGGCTGGCCTAAGACTTGGTTGGCATCTAGCCTTTTTGTTTCTCTGCTTGTTGCCATGTGTTCTAACCATCAGGGCTCAAATTCTTCAGTCTGTAAACAGCCAGTTCTGTCATCAAATGCCAATGATTACCTTTCAGAGGTTCAGGGAAATTCATTCTCTGAAGCACAATTTACCACATCTTCCTCCTTCATAGAACAAACCCCATAATCCTTCTCAAATTTCATCCTACCATAGGAGGGTGAGGTTTTGGCTATTTATGTGGTAGCATTTTTAAATGCTTTTATTAGTCAAGAAAATAATGGAACTCTGGGTTTATCTCTAAACTTGACTTTTTAGTTTTGTTTCTAGAAGACTTTGGAAAGGGATGAGGATAGAGGTCTAGGGGTTTGGGAAACAACCTAGCAGCCCTCAGAACAACAGCAGACTCTCATGCAGTACTGCTGACTGACCAGTAGCAGGGATGTGCTTGAATCATGATCTCCTGTCTCTGGTGTTTCCAATATTAGACTTCTAAACTTGTTTAAGAGTTCCTGAGAATTCAGTAATGGGGTGATGATGTTTTTTGTTTTATATCATCCAAACACAGCAGAGAACCATAGCATTTTTATCCATTTATTTTAGAGAATAGCTTCCTCGGGTTTGGTGGCATATGAAGGGCAAACAGGACAGTTTGTGCTTGTGGAATGCTTCTTACATGCTGGTGCCTTGGCTGCGCTTTTACCTTCTTAATATTTGCAGTATCCACTTTCACAGATGGAAAAGCTACAGTACGGAGAAATGAACATCCCAGGATAAAAGACTGCTCATGGAATACAATTTTGTAACTTTGCCCTGTATGCCCTAGCCATGGAGATGCTTTTCGATGAGCTGGAAAATTAACTTACAGTTAAAAATTCTTTAACAAGTCAAAATGTCCTTAAAATGGCTTTTTCTCCATGTCCTCCATACTATGAGATCCCTGAGGTCTCCTCTTCCCCACTTATTCCAGAAAGTACCTCACCTCTGATATGTGTTAGATCACATTCCCAGCTCTGCACATTCTCCAGTGTAACCACAACACCCCAAGCTACTTGTTCTTGCTTTTTCTCCTAGAATTCATTCCTGTGAGGGCTGTTATGTTTCTCAGGCTCAAATTGATGCCCCACCCTCCATACATGGCTGCCTTTCCCAGCTGGGGGACTCTTTCTCCATGGTAGCAGCTTTGTCTCTTGCCTTGGCAAGGCTTGTGGGCTCACTTCCTGATAAGATCCTTTCACCACCAACAACATTGACTTATCTTTGATTCACCATATATCTATTCCGCATGTTTGGGGCTAGTTTTTCCTAAGTTGAACTGTGACCTGGGTCACCATGAGCATGAACCACCCCGGGACTGCCAGGTAATGAAATGCCTACAGTGTTTCTGGATTTGGTTTGAGGCTTAAAGCTTTCTGTGTCAAAGTTCATATGGGCTAGATCTCTTTCCTCTCCGTTATACCATTCCCTTGTTACTACCTGGCCGAGTTGGCTAAAGTTAATTTAATGATTTCCTCTCTTTAAGCCAACTTGAAATTCTAAATCATTTGTCTGACAAGTTCCTATCGTTTTGCTAAATATTCATACATAAATAATGTATTCTTAAAATGCTTGAATTATTTGGGAAGCTGTCTGTGAGCATGCAGTGACTGCCTTCACTTGGAGCTTGGCTCCTAAACGTCTCAAATTCTATGCCTAATTCTACTGTGGAAGTTCCTGCATCTGTCATTCTGATAACAAAAGTGACTCTGAGCTCTGTACTCCTTTTCTGAAACAATGTAGCTATGTATGTGAGGGTTCTAGATAGACAGACAACTCAGGAATTCCCTTGTGCCTTACTTGTTTCAGGAAGAACATAAGGAGCATATAACAATATACAATGTATGGAAGTTTATCATAAATTAAAACTAAAGCCAGACATAAAATAAAAAACAAGGACTGGGAGAGTGATACAAGAAACACCCAACACACACAAACAGGCCCACACTTGCTTCTCAGATTTGCAGTGGTCCATTGGAGGAGAGACATTTCTGACTTATGTCCACTTACTAGAATTCTGCTGATGTAGCATATATATGTATACATATACATATATTATTTGTTTGTTTTTGTTTATAAAAGAGGTGTGATAACCAATTGCTAGAAGTTCTAGGGAAAAATAATAATGCACCTGTGTGTTTGGGCAGGGTTTCTGAGAAGCGAACGTCCTTCCTTTGATTCTCCATGGAGTCAGGTGGCCATTGTTGAGTTGTACTGTGGCCTTTGCCTCTGCTCACTGCCCTGACAGCCTTGTAGAACTGTCACATCAGAGCTGATTTTCTGTGCGACTCCTTCTGTCTGGCAGACCTTGGTCCATGGCTACTGTCTCTCCTTTCACTTTCTGCCATAACGAGCCCTGGGCACCAACCTTGTATAATGTTTCTAAAGCCCATGTTCAAGTTCCTTCTGTCCTGCACTGTAGACCCCCTGATCACTCTGTGTCCATGACTTCCTGACTCATCTAGTATGCCATGTCTTTAACAGGTGTGTGGACTGTGTGAACTCATCCCAGGTGGTTTACTGGAGGGAAGAGTTGGTTGGGTACATTTGACAGCTTCACACTTGTATAGCTGCCATATATTGAGTTTCGTGTGATGTGCAAGGAACATAAGAACAGACAGATGCGATTCTACTTTCGGGGTGGCTGAATGCAGGGAGATGCGTGATGTGCAGGCTAGATAGTAAACTTGACAGTCGTAAGTGCAGTGAGCAGGGTCCACTCTGTTAAGAAGGTCTGAGCAGCCTCTAACCTGTGCCCTGACCTGGAATCAAGAGCTATGGGCTCCTCTGACACAGGTAGCTGGGGCTTTGGGTGGGAGGGTGGCAAGAGCAGGAAAACTGTTGGGGGTTCTGGACTAAGCTTGCTTTTCCATCTGAGAGAACTGGTGGTATCGTGGTATCTGGTCTCTGCAACTACTTCTACCAAATACAGTTTTCCACAGTGTCTCTCTGAGTTGATTCTTAGCACTGGCTATCTGCCTGCCCATGATAGAGAGCCCATGGGGAGGCTGAGGCTGTGTCACTTCTTGACCCTCCCTTTCTTTTGAGCGGCTTAGACATATTTGCTCTGTGCTTGCTACTTTCTTTCTCATAGACAACCCTATGAGTTTTGTCAATGGGAATGGGGTTTGAAATTCCTTAGGCCTAGAGGCCTAGAAAATCTACTTCCTATGTGTGTGTGTGTGTGTGTGTTTTATGATAGTTCCTGTCTAATAGAAAAATGAACTTGTTGCTGTGATTTCATGTCTAATGTCTTTTTGAGTCATAAGCCCACATTTAGAGATCACCTAATTTTTAATGACAAGCTTTTTTGCCTAGAAAATTTATGGTAATGATTACAAGGCTCATAAGAGTATTTTTAGATTGTTCCTGTGCATAGCGGGTGCTATATAAACAGTAACTTAAGTCTCATATCCCAGAGTTACAGACTGTTATTATTGCTTCTATTGGAATGACATGGAAATCAGTGTACACAGAGGCTAAACATGTTCTCCAAGGTCACAGTGCCAGCTAATGATGGATTAAACATGCAGAATCTGGTATGGATGCTATCTCATCCATGTACGTTGTCTGCTTATGTTCTTTTGACCCCCTTGTTCATGAGGGGTGTAGATTGGGTGACCAAACTGATATACAAAGGTAGCTTTATAGAATGAAATGTTTACTGTCACTATTTTGAAAATTCTACTGTGGCTTGAAGATAAGGAAACATCTTGGGGGGCAATGATACTGTCATAATTTATTTCTGAATTACAGGAAATAAGCCTTACAGGAAATAAGAAAATCACCTATATGTAAGGAAATCATGGTCTTATATCAATTTCTGTACAATGAAATAATTTACTCAAAAAATAATTCCTTTATTATGCTTTGCTTACTTCATGCTTAATAATTGATGTGCTTACAGAGCCACTGGTTGATAACAGCAGCGCAGATATATTCTAGGTGTTCTAAACACACTTATTTTATTATAGTAAATCCAGACGTTTAAAATCAGCATCTTAAGTATTATTGTTCCAATTGAGCAGTAGTGATGGGGCTTTGCCTGTTGCTGTGGCTGAGCCCTTGGTGAACAATATGTACATTGCTGAATGCAGGCAAAGCGACACTGTTCTGAGCAGCATGTGCTACTGGATTTAGAAACTCTCCATCTGTGTACCTGGAGCACACGGGAAACTTAAAAATATCTGCTGGCCAGGCTCATCCCAAACTTTATCCCAGCACTGCTGTAAGTCCCCATGGAACATCACTGGCCAAAAGGTTTTCTTCCTGTTCCTGTCAATGTGAGACAGATTGAACATACGTCACAGTGAGCTGTGGCAGGTAATATTATTTGTGATGAAGAGAGTCCAAGCTAGGGGTAAATGCTTAAATCTTGTGACATCCCCAATTTTCAATGCTGTCATATCAATGATTGGAAAACCCTCATTCCTTTGGCCCCCAACTCTACTTCTCCCATTCTATGACTTGTTTTATCACGTATTGAGTGAACCATGATGGTCATGAGCTCTCTGTTTCCATTTCTGTAGCTTCCAGCTATTAACTTTGACAGTTCCCAAAATAACATGACAAAGCCTGAGCCCGCCATCAGGATGGGGGGACCCAGAGCTCGCGGTCAATGGCATGAGTCCACAGAAGCAGTTGAACTTGAAAATTTTAGGTAAGAAATTTGCTGTCAGTAGCCTATTCAAGCTTAATTATTTAAATTTATCATAAAAGTGAAAATTTGAAATATACATATTCTTATTTAGTAATTTTAGTGAACATGCAATACTTTTTTTTAAAAAATAGTTTAAAAGTCCAAGTTTCTCAATTGGATGGACAGTATCTTGGCTTTACCAAAGAACGTTAGTCTGTGTTTCTGTTGCTGTGTAGACATTCTAGAAGCAGACATTCTGTGGGCCATTTCCTTTCTGGGAGTGGCTCTGTGTCACAATGTGTTCAGGTAATTTGCCAATAAGTACTGTGTAAACATGAAAGGCATGAAATAGCAGCATAAATATTCTAGAATGATCATTTACTTGTTTGGTTTATCTTGTTTCTCTGGCATTTTATGAACTTAAATCAGTTTCAAAAAGTCATATGATGTTCCATGGGTTCATATTTTTAACTTGTAAAAACTAAAAATGTGTTGTTACGTATTCAGTTTACCAGTGATCTTATATAAGAAACCATTATAGCCCTTACCTGGCCATATAGGGTTGTATGGTTGAATGCCATATGAACATCCACAAATGCAGATGTTTACATAACACATGTCATAGAACTTACCTTTGAGGTGATGGTCATGTAATTTTACTTTATTTGACCTTGATATTAAAAATTAGCCATTTTTTACATTGTGTGTTCATATGTGTGTGTGTGTGTGTGTGTGTGTGTATGTGTGTGTGCATATGTGTGTGTGTATGTGTGTGTGTATAAAATCTCATGTGCCACAGTGCACAGGTGAAGTGCAGAGGATGACTTTGTGGAGTTGGTTCTCTCTTCAGCTCTTTATCTTTATTTATCAACTTTACTGTTGAGTTTGGGTCTCTATTTAACAGTTGTTGCTTGCCCTTGCTAATAAGTTGACCTTAAAACTCTCATGTTTTATCTCAATATAGATGGTCTTTCTTTTTATTGGTAATTTTGTTAGCCCAAATAATGTTTATTATAAATTGTTTTTTCTCTGTTCTTTTTTTCATCTTAGTATAAATTACAAGAATGAAAGGAATTTCAGCAAACATCCACAGCATCAGTTATTTCAGGAGATCTTTACGGCTCTGGTGAGAAACAGACTCATATGCAGGTAAAGCTCTGCCCAAAAGACAGATATCTGCCCAAGAATGGTGTGTTTCACAAATCCTGTATGAAGAATGTGCTTTGAAACAGCCTACAAGTAGAACACAGGGTGGTTGCAGCATTTAAGAATATAAATATTCCAGTATCTGTGATTATGTATATATACAGTATATTCACATTTATGGCTTATTTTCTTTAATTGTCATTACATATAAGTATGAGCATATAGAACACAACACAACACACACACACACACACACAACTAAAGAAAAAGAAGTGCTACATTTCAAAGAGAGAAAAGGTAGGTACTTGGGAAAGTTTTGGATGGAGGAAATGGAAGGCAACACAATGTAATTGTTTTATAATCTCAAATATTAAAATAAATAATTAAAAATGTATAAAAGTAAAAGGCTGACAAAGGCTATGTAAAAGAAGACAGATGAGCTGGCACTGTGTTCTTATTGGACTCGCTCGTTGGACCTTGAATTTAGTTGAGCTTGGTGACAGGTAGGATGTGGGAGGAGAGAGTTTTCTTTAATATACGTGTTTTGGGTTTGAACACTCACGGAATGTTTATTGCGTAGTCCTTATGAAAGAGAGACATTGGTGACCACTCTGGGTGACATGACAACATCTTTGCAGTTGATACAGTGACCAAGTAGCTGTGCTCTGCCAGCCTGGACTTAAAGAAAGAGAGGATGAACATGTACCCCCAGTCCAATCAACCCCCATGTCCTGTTATAGAGAACTGATGAAGAATCTTAGACTAGACAGACTTACTTTCTAGTAACAAGAAGAGTTAGGAGGAGATGATGCTAAGCTCCCTTCTTTCACAGGAACTTACAATGCTGGGTTTTAAGACCATCCTTCTACATCATTCTTGGGTGCTACAGATCTCTGTGTTCAGTTCAAATCTGAAATCAGAGTTGGATAAAGGACGGACTGTGTGTTGTGGTCCCTATTGTACTCCATGTCATAGAAATTGTAAAGATGGCAGGCCTATCTTCTCCTCCTAGCGTATATTTAAAGAATAATTACATCTCAGAGCTTTTGTGGTACAGCTCCCTAGCCCAGTCCTCTGCGACCATCAGGGATAATGTTGGATTGAAGGCATAGATTGAACTTACTCAAACTGGTGAGCGTCTGCCATTTGTCAAGAAGGGATGAGGCAACCAAGGAAAAGGGAGAGAAAATACTGAGGTGACTGAGAAAAATGGCAAGTCATTCTGACATATTTCCAAAGAGGACTCTCCTTATGCCCTGAAAGCCAAAAATGAGTTAAAGGATGTCAGGTCACATAATATGATGATTTTTCTTTAGAGAAATAATGTCAAAAATATCAGAATGAATTCTGTGTTTGGTGTGGTTACTAAATTTGGTGACGTTTTACAGTGAGCTCATTTAGCTGGCCCCTTTCTGGTGTTATTACATTAGAATGGTGAGGCAAGCTGCTCTTCCTTGCCTGTGATAATTGCAGAGGTGAGCAGAATCCAGGCACTCTGGTTTTAAGTAGAAGAGACCTGTCCAGCTCATTTAATGGACTATTTGTCCAAAAGCATCTCTTGCTTCCCAAAGCACGCAAGTTGCCATCCTTGCTACAATCACTCTGCATCAGATCTCCTATGTATTTTCGGTAAATTTGAGACACTTTGAAAACGAGACTGAAATCTGTCCTTACGACAATATGCTTAAGCCACACACCAGAGGGAACTTTGTGCTCTAGATGAAATCTGGCCAACCCATGACCATCTTTTTTTTTTTTTAATTTAAACTTTTAATTTTTGAGAATTTTATATGTAACTACTGTATTTAGTTAGGTGCACTGTTCCTTACTGGGCCCATTTAATGTTGCTCTTTTGTACTTGTGTTTAGGGCTAACCACTTGGAATTGGATAGCCTTATGAGGGACTTGTCCCTTGCAAAGAATAGTTCTCCTTCTCGTATTAAAAATTGACTTTTTTTAAACAATAAAGTTTATAAAACTAAAATAATAATAATAATAATAATAATAATAATAATAATAAGTTACTGTAAAAATGTCTGGGGAATGTGTTAGATGTCCATAGCCAAGAGGACTAATGCTGTGTTTATTTAACAGTGGGACTTGTGCTGTCTAAATTGACACTAGAACGCAGGTGGTGAGGCAAAGGTTACTTTCTGTTTTGATGCCTCAGTCCTCTGCTTGGGCATATCAGCTCATCACAGAGTGCCAGGACCAGATGTTCGGATGGAGTGAGGATCTCTTTATGGTTTTAAGCTCTTGAAACACACTGATTTGGTAGACGTATTTTTGCTGTGGTCTTACCTTATCACCCTGTAAAGAGGCCTGTACTTTTCATCTAGGAAAACATGAATGACGTATGTAACGGATGCAGAACTTTGCTCAGGCTAGTGGATTTCTGTTCTTAAGACTTTTTAATGCCAGGTTTTTCTGAAGAGTCTTTTACTTCTTCTTGGCCTCTCTCACTGGCTCTGTGGTTCTGGTGCTTGAACCACATGTGCTGAGCATGCGTCCTACTGCTAATTCACCCTCTACATAGCAGCAGTGTCATCTGTTGATGCTACCCACTTTATCCCTGTGCTCAAGAGGGTCAGATGAAGCTCCCATTCTTCTCTTACTTCTTTTTTTTTTTTTAAAGATTTATTTATTTATTTTATTATGAGTACACTGTAGCTGTCTTTGGACACACCAGAAGAGGGCATCCGATCTCATTATGGATGGTTGTGAGCCACCATGTGGTTGCTGGGATTTGAACTCAGGACCTCTGGAAGAGCAGTCAGTGCTCTTAACCGCTGAGCCATCTCTCCAGCCCCCCCTCTTACTTCTGCACTTCTGCCATCCTGCTGGTACCCTACTTCTCTCTGGACCCAACTTGTTCTGATCTCTCATATAACCAGCCCCATCCTCCTCATCACGACCCTGGGGTCCTTTCCTTCTTTAGTATATACTAACCTCCTGGATATCAAAATCTAGTTCTTTATCCACAACTCTAACCACCTAACATGCCTTTTAATGTCACCATCTTGGGACATATATACAGCTCTTACTTGTTTTTCACTTCTGGGAATGGAACTCAAAGGCTTTGTACAGGCTAGGTCAATGCTCTACCAGTGAACGTCATCCCCAGCACTGGTTTGATGAAATAGGTCTTGCTATGTATATGTAGCCCAGTCTGGTCTTAAATTCATGCTCCTTCTATCTTAGCCTCCAGGGTGTGCACCACTATACAAAGCACTTGTACATTGTTTGTTTTCATAGGATGAAAAAATTTCCCCTATACTGTAAATATGTGTACACTAACATATACATGCACACAGGCACACACAGTCACAGACACAGTCAAACACACAGTCACACATGCATGATGTATGTATGGCCATACACATGCATGCACATATGCACATACATGTAGACATACATACATATAATTGAATGTATGTGCACACATACACACTCACATACACAAACACACATGCACAAAAGTCATAACAATTATGGAGATGGAGTGGACTCTAAGAAGGCTCAACTGCTGGGTAGATGAGAGCACTGATACTTGGAGAGCGTCCAGGCAGTCTGGGCTGGTGCTCTTGGCCTGTGCCTCACACATTCCCTGGTTTCTTTGTTTCTTGAGCATACCTTTAACCGTGGAGTTACAGTCAATAACCCATCCTGGTCAAAGCAGTTCTGTATGAGAGAAAGTAATAAATTTTATGTGGTACCAGGGTGAAGTTTATTTTTGGTAAATAAGCTCTGTCTGCTGTGTGCTGTGGCTTCTCATCCCAGAGAAGTCTGACAGGCAGGAAGCTGAATTACTCTGCCTTCCCAGGGAAGAACTTCTTGTCCTTGGCCAACAGATCACTACTCAAAGCAACTATAACCTGGCTGGGATCATCATATCTGTGCATGACAGATGTGTTTAACCATCTTTACATAAGCTCTTGTGAGCCAGGCGTTGGAGCCAACCCAGGAGCCACACTTCAGAGCTAAAAGTTCATCTCTCTTCTCTTCCCCTTCTCTTATCCTTCTCTCCCTCTTCCCTCTCCATTCTCCCTCCTTTTCTTCTCTTCTCCCTTTCCCAAGGCCTCACTTTGTAGCTTAGGCTAGCCTTGAACTCTTGATGCTACCTCAGCTTCCCAGGTGCTATGGTTATAGGCCTTGGGCATCAGACCTGGCTTTACCTGTCTAATTCTCATGTCCCCTGCTGGCCTGGCTCCTGAAGTGGCTTCTCTGCTGTGATTATATCCCTGTTTCACATGTCAATTGGAGGATTCTTCCTGCTTTGTTATTTAAAGGTATCATTCCTAAAACCGGACTTTTAATTTTTCTGTCAACCCATAAGGAAATTTCAGCTTTTGTCACCACTGTCTGCAGAGCTAACCCAGGCTTCCAGCATTTCTGGCCTGCACAGTTGTAGTAGGCTATCTGGGTTTCTTGCTTTACCTGTGTGGTTTTCCTTTACTTTGTTATCAGCATAGCTTCTGGAAGGATCCTTTCAAAACCTCAGATAGCTCATGTGGGACCTTTGCTTAAAGTCTAGAATATACCTGGTAAAAACTTCCAAAGGCCCCATTCCTATCCTGCAAGTCCTGCCTGCTGCTGTCTGTCTGACCACAGATTCTGTTTTCTCACTTTGCTATTTTCTGCATCAAGCCCAGGGCCTGAGCTACAGGCTTTTCTGCTGTTCTGACACAAGCTTCTTCAAAGCTCCTGTCCTCAGCTCATATGATGCTAATCTTACCAGAGAGCCTCCCCTGGCCATCCCAAAATAGCAGCCTGCCCTAATGAACCTGGTCTTGGTTGTTCCTTGCCATTGCCACTTGATAGACATGGATCTCTACAACTGGGCTTTCTGGGTCCAGGCCTTGCCTCTGCTGAGCTCCAAGCTCATTAAGAACCAGGCTGATGGGACATGATGATGAATATCTGGAAGCACTGTGCACAGTCCATCAATTAGAAGAAAGGAGACGAGTCTTTTGTACTTCTTGGTCTGAGTGCCACAGGTCCCACATGGTTTTCTTTTTGGGTAGAGCTTGTGGGCTAGACTGCATGGGTAACAGAGAAGATGAGCACAGAGCACGGAGACCCGAGAGAGGACTGGGGATTCCAGACAGTGGCATCCCCACGTGTGTTCTTGTTTCTGTTAAGTTTTAACAAAATAGGTATGATGTTTACTTTTTCATTTATCCAGATGAGTTCTAAGGAAAACAGTATCTCAGCATGAGAAAGGCATTCATTCTGTCCCGCAGCATGCAACAGGAAGGTCTGAGCAATAGCCTCTCCGTATACACACACACCCATGTGCTCTCAGCTAGTGGCAGCCTGTCGTTTGGAGCACTCATATCTCACACTGGCTTCTTCCTCTGTGAAAGAAACAGAAACCCCACCTCCCTTCTCTCTGGTCAGATCTTATGTGTGCAGTGACATTTTCCTTTCGACATTGATGGCAGAAAGTGGCGTCCTGGACGAGGGTGGTGGGAGCTGACCGGACCGAGTGTATTAATAGTCCTGTGAAATCAGTGGCGTCCGTTCAGTCAGCAGAGAGCTTTAAATACTTGCCCGCTTATAAATTCACTCCTGTGTGGCTGTCATGTGGAGACATCCTCCAGGGAAGCACTGTCATTGGAGCCACATGACTTTTCAGGGCTGCCTCCAAGGACCCATCTCTTGTTCCCATGGCAAACATAGAGAGTACTTTCTCCATGTTCACCTGGAGTCCAAGCAAAAGGGGCCTGCAGTGGCTGAGTCTGTCAAACAGACGCTGTTCTACATCGGTGGCTGTTTTCCATGTAGTTCTTTGGCTACACTAAATTCTGTGTTTTCTAGTTCCCCTGACTCTTGGTGAGCAGAGGTGCATGCAATCCCCCACAGAGCCAGGGCTGCCTCCCTTGTGGCCTATCTGTCCTCCTCAGGGTTCCAGGCTAGGAGCCAAGGAAGGCCTCCTTCTGAGGTCATTCTCAAGGGGGCAGAACCCAAGGACTCAGCCATCAGGAATCCTATTTACAATAGAAGAGTAATAACTATGAGAAATATTAATAGCCTTGGGCTCCTGTCCCAAAATTGCAAAGCAAACCAAACCAAACCAAATGCAATTTGCCGAGAACTTTCAACTCAGACTATTCTGGATCTCTTCATTTGGTTAGACTCCATGAAGAGTAAAATTAAAATCTACATTGAAATTTCACTTCTCTCTCTCTCTCTCTCTCTCTCTCTCTCTCTCTCTCTCTCTCTCTCTTTCTCTCTCTCCTGCCCCCCCGCACTTGCACCCCCATGTGTGTCTGTGTGCGCACACACACGTGCATGCATGCATTCGTGTTTTAAGGAGAAAAACAAAGACCTTTAATATGAATTTTAATGTGGAAAATACCCACAGGAAAGGTCACAGACTTTCCTGTGAAGACTGGCCATGGCTGTCAGGAAGAATACCGAGGAAGAATACTGTGCATGTATTTGTAGCACAGATCCTGTTCCCCTTGGATACTGAAATGCTGTTGGCATTCAGTGGCATCAGGTTGCCCATTGCTTTTGCAAGCTGTTGCCAGCCATCATTCTTCTCTGGGCAGGGGGAAGGGTCTTTGAGCTGGGGGCATTTGCCCTGCATCCTCTTCAAAATAAGAGTATTAAAATGATCATATTTTCGCAAAAATTTTCTATATTTTCACCAATGGAGGGCCGAAGTGTGGAAAGTCTGTGAGCACTCAGCAAGTACTTTACACTGAGCTACAGCCTACCCCTACTTTAAAAGCAACTACTCTTAAAAATGAGTCTTTACTTTAACATCCAAAGTAATTGGTTTTCTTCTGTCATTTCTATACTTTTGTTCTAGTTCACTCTTTTCCAGGCTCCCTTTTACTTCTTATTTTGAGTCTCACTAAGTTACCCAGACTACCTTTGGCTTGCGCTGTACTCCAATTTTGTAATCCTCCTGTCTCTACTTCCTAAGTACTTGGATGGCAGGCCTGTGCTTCGAGAGTTTTGCCTAGCAGGCAGCCCAGGGGTTAGTTGAGTCCTATTTTTATTTTTCCAAAGAAACTGGGCTGGCCCCACGGCACAGGGGTCACTAATAAAGTGCCTGCACTGGAGAGGGGATACTGTTGTTGGCATCGGCTGTGGGAAGCTGCCAATAGCCAGCGAGTTCTGATTACAGGTTTTCCTTCTGCATTTGTGTACTGGGAGCATGGACTGCAGGGAGTACACAGACATTCCTGGGAATAAAACCACAGGTCTAGTGCCTTGCCAACCCCTGTCTCAGCAGATTGAAGGGGTGGGGGGAGTGAGTGGTTTTGCCAGGGAATGGGGGATGCCTAGTGCAGTCACCACAGATGGCACCCTGACTCAATCACTCAGCTTCCCAATGTGCAGGTTTTGGGGAAGAGTTGAATTCCTCAGTGCTATAGAGAAGACAGACCTGATTCTTACCTCTAGAGCCCCAGAATAGATCTAGGACAGACAAGGGGACAGTTGGCTTGAGTTTTCAGCTCAGGTCAGAGTCCTATATGGCAGGGGTATTTATAGTATTGTGGCAATGCCTTATGAACACCCAGGTGAATGGCATTTGGAGTCTTAAATACTTCCTGTTATTTCCCCATTTCCTTTGACTAAGGATAGAATTGAAGAACTTTTGTGTTTCAGGTCTTTGTTAACACTGGCACCACGAATGATTAATGTTGGACTAGCTTGCAGAACAGTATGGGGCATGCGTCACCAGACTGGACTTGCCTTCTGTGGACAATGTCTGGCTGCACTTACAATAACAAGATCCAGGGCAGGGCAGTGGTTAGCTGCCCTTTTCACCTCAGGGAGATACTGGCTGTGTGGTTACTTCTGCACAAAACATGCTCTGTGGTCAGAACAGTACAGGTTATGGGAGTCCTGGTGCTGGAGAGCCACGGAAGGCTGCCATTGGGAAGCACTTTAGGCCCTGACTCATAGACAACCTGTCACATAGGTTGGAAGGGAACAAGGGACTGTGGCAGGAGGTGGGCCTAGAGGCACATGGGAAGACAGATCCCACAAAGCCTTGTGGGCAAGAGGATGGATTGACTGTGAGACATATTCTGAGAGGTGGTGGGTGCTGTTAGGGGGTTTGGGAAGCAATATGGAAGCAAAGAAGTTTCCTTTAACATTTTCACCACGTTTACCACCAGGTCTAGCTACACTCAAGATGCTGAGTGATGAAGCATGTGCTCTCTGAGACTCAGAAGGACTTGAAGAACAGAGACTGTTCCAGGGGAAGTGAATGTCTGGTGGAGCTTCTGTTGTCATTCTTCTGTATTAACCAAAAAGGCAGTGGGCTACTGCTGTTGCTTCTGCTCCAGCTGCTCCAGCTGCTCCAGCTGCTCCAGCTGCTCCAGCAGCTCCTGCAGCAGCAGCTGCTGCCTTTGTTGTTCTGAGAAGGTTTCAATGTAGCTCAGGCTGGGCTTGAGCTTGATTTATAGCCAAGGAGGACCTTAAATTTCTGGTCCTTCCCAGCTCTAGGGTCTTCAGTATCTACCACTATGCCTGGCTCAGAAAAAACCCTTCTTCTCCTTAGCCTCCAGCGTTCTGGAATCTTGAGATCAAGATCAGCCTATATTACACAGTGAAACTCTATCTCACAGTGTTTTTTTTTTTTCCTCCTCTTAGTACATGTCTGCAACTTCTTCAAGTGAGCACTAAGTGGTTAGGGCAATTAAGCCTGTCTTAATTATTGGAAGACTTTAACTCTTTATTTTGATTTAGGGACAACATGAACTACTACTAGGTCAGTGTGAGTCTCTGATCCAGGTCAGTTTGGAGCATCCTTGAACCACAGTGGTGAAGATAGTTTCTGTGTGTTTTGCATTGGTGTGAGTCAAGGGTCACCACGACACAGTGCCTTGCAGAGGAAGCCAAGATGGACCATTGGCTCCACTTCACAGGCTTCACTTCCCTTCATAGCTGTGTGCTGTTTGTTTGTGAACTGTCTAAACACCAACATGCTTTCTCTTTCCTTTCTCTTCCCTTTCAGAGAGTGGGTGAATCGAGCTCCATCCATTCATTTTTTGAGAGTGTTAATTTGTCTGAGGCTGCTAATGCGGGATCCATGTTATCAGGTTGGTTGGAAAAAGTAAAACTGTTCTTCATTTGTGACAAAAGTAAAATAATGAAATTAAAAACCCAGTGCGCCTTTTTTTCAAAGTGAACCATGTTAATGTTTCCGTCACAAGTGAGGATCTTACAAATATGACACACAGCTCATCTGCTGTTGGAAAAGATTATGAAGAAACAATTTGTAGGCCCATGTATCTGCATGTTTATACTTAATCTACAAGGTTCAATGACTGAGTTCTAGTCTATGTGTTCATTGCTATGGAACCTTTGAAGCCATTTCAAGTTCAAGGAGGCACACAGTAGGCCATACACCGAAGCATGTTTTAAAGCCACAAGGATCACTAGGGCAAAGTCAGCAGTGACAAGAGGGGAGCTCACTGTGTGACTCTAGAGGCAACCCTGAGAGACAGCAGGGCTGTAGCCTGTTAGCTACCAAGATCCCATTCCTTCCCAGCTTCCAGTTGGTAACTCTGAGCACAGGAGAGCACAGGGCCTCCCTCTGTTGGTGTCAGGGGAGGCCTGTAGCTAGAATCTTCCCTTTTGATCACTACCTGGATATGTTGTGTCTAGTTTATAGCCTCTTACATTTTAATGTACATAGGAATACATAGGAATCCAGTGGATACAGATTCTTCCTCAGGGGGTAGAAACAGGCCCCTAATTCTACATTTCTTTTTAAAGATGTATTTTCACTTATGCGCATGTGTATGTGTCTGTTTTGAGTGTGAATTACATGTCTGCCTGTGTGTATAGAAGCTAGGAGCTCGTGTTGGGTGCCTGGTACTAAAGCTGTAGGTGGTCATGAGTGACCTAGATATGGGTGTTGGGAATCAAACTCCTATCCTCTGCAAGAGCAGCAAGCGCCCCTGACCACTGAGTCATCTTTTTAGCCCACTTCTGCGTTTTTAATACGATTCTAAGAGATATCAAGGCTGCTGGGCCATAGTTTGCCTTGAATAGCAAGGGCTTAGTGCTTTAAGCTGTGAAAGTTTAAAGAATGTCCTATCCAAGGAATCTGTGCTAGAACCTCATCCTTTCTGGCCTGGCTCGGCGGTAGGGAGGGAGCTGCAGAGTACTGCTATTTGCTAAGTTTGCTGTGTTTCTGAAGGACCTAGAGGCTGTTTCTGATCAGTAGGTCTGTAGGTAGGCAGGGAGAATGCCAGGTCCTCGGAAACAAGGCTGCTGGCTAGGCTGACATGGATGACATGGAGTGAGCCACCTCATGGCTGCTTCTATTCAACCTTGCTAATATCTTGAGAATGACTTATTTGTACATACTGTTGTTGTTTTGTTTTTTCTTCCAAAAGACCTTGCTTTATGCCATGTCCTTATAAACCACTGGGAAGGCACACTACCCAGGCTCTTATGGTAGACTCAGTTTTATGGGTAGATTTTTAAAATTTCAGCCAGAATGTTCCTATTCATTTCCCCAGCCATCATCTTTCCCAAACTTAGCACCAAACCAAAATGTGTCTCCCCTCGACTGGAGTGTTCTGGGGCTCTTGGTCACAGTATACCTTCTATTCTGAGGCTGGCCATCTTCCTCACATATATTCCAGCCTGGTCTTGTGCTGTTACAGCCAACTGCCAACCTTTGCATATGTCGTCAGGGCATCCACCAAATGGCATTCTGTCCTGGCCGTTCACAGTCATGAGCTGCTATGAAGGGCTGAGTGAACCATGCTTTTCACAGCTACTTCTGCCAAGTAATGTGAGCTGTGTAGAGAAGGAGGAGCATGTGTTGGGCTTTTCCTGTCAGGCTAGGACGCGCTGACTGCTCCTACTCCATGAATTCCAGTCCCACATTCTTCCCTGATAAGTCTCTGGATGGATGAAAAGACCAAATGCAGAATATTAAAGAGCATTCCAGGAGGAACAACCAGTTCTCAGATTCACAGGACATTAGGAAAGATTTTACCTCAGGATACTTTATTTGCTGAGAAAATGAATGACGGTTGATCTGCTTTTAAAGCATTGCCTTTGTCTACACTGCTTTTGATTGATTGGCAGAAGGTAGATTACACTTCTCTTTAAAGCACAGAATGCACTGAGTATTTTGTTTATGATATTTTGATACATACTGGTCTAGTGTCCCTGGTTGACAGTCTTTCCATAGAAGGGGATTCTCCCCAAGCCTCTGCTCCTGGTATGCCTCCTGAACAGAAGACTGTGTGCTCTGCCAGTTGTATAACACATTGAGTTGCCAAGAATTCTTGGCCAAAATCACAAGGCCGTGCTAGGGATTACTAGAGCACACTCCAGTGAATGTCAGCAAGCCTTTGCCTTCACTGCTCTTTCGTCTCCTCTTCCTCAAGTCAGTGTGCGGGCCTAGGCTGTCTCCACCTCTCATGACCAGTCTTCCTGCTCATGGCCTTCGAAAGCCACATCATAGGGTTTACAGAGGAACCCTAAGCCATGCTTCTGGGAACTTCTCATCTTCTCTTCTTAGTTACATGGAAAGTCTGGACTATTATGCAGATCTCTTCCTTCTTTCAGAAGTAATGCTCTTCTTCTGGCCATGTTTTATTTACTTCTACTGATCTTATTTCTCATGGTGCCTCTCTTTTGGGTTCTCCTCATCACAAAATTATCTTTTCTCTCTCTCTTTTTGATTTTATTCATTTTTTCTTGCCTTTTTTTTTTTTTTTTTTTTTTTGGTTTTTGGTTTTTGGTTTTTTGAGACAGGGTTTCTCTGTGCAGCCCTGGCTGTCCTGGAACTCACTGTGTAGACCAGGCTGGCCTCGAACTCAGAAATCCACCTGCCTCTGCCTCCCGAGTGCTGGGATTAAAGGCGTGCGCCACCACAACCACAGCCCAGCTTCTTGCTTTTTTTCTAAATCAGAATTTTCACTATGTAGTCTAGACTAGCCCCTAATTTAGAACCTTCCTGCTTTGAGTTCTGGAGCACTGGGCTTGGAGGCATGAACTATATAATATGTGGATACCTGATAGCATTTCTTTCTTTATCCAGTGATCCAGGTCTTCTTACATTTATGACTGCACTTTTTTCTTTTCCGTGTTTTAAAAATTTAGTTTCTATTTCTTTATTATGTGTGTGTGTGTGTGTGTGTGTGTGTGTGTGCAGGTAGAGCACATGTGGAGGTCAGAGCAAGCTTATGAGGAGTGTTTCTCTCCATCCACAGTTTGGGTCTCTGTAATGGAACTCAGGTCATCCGGCTTACAAGCGGTTGGCTCCATTTGATGAGACAATTTTTCGGGCCCTATGACTTCACTTCTTAAAGCGTCAGGTTATCTCCCCAGCCTACTTCTTCCTATCAAGTCCATGTACCACTTAACTTACACATAGAACTTGATGTATATATTTTACTCTGGAAGCCAGTTAACTAGCCAGTCATGTGTAGCCAGGCCTTTTTTCTTGACTGAGATGACTTCATAGACTTACCTTCTAGCATGCAGAGGCTTAGATAAATGCTTAATGGAACTTCCAACTGCAAGAAAGATGGAAAAGAACAGAAAACCCATTTATTTTATTTTATTTTATTTTTATTTTATGTGCATTATTGTTTTACCTGCATATATGTCTGTGTGAGGGGGTCAGTTCTTGGAGTTGTAGACAGTTGTGAGCTGTTGTGTGGGCAATGGGGATCAAACCTGGGTCCTGTGGAAGAACAATCGATGTTCTCAAACATTGATCCATCTCTCTAGCCCAGGAAATCATTTTTAAAGATACAATTGTCTAGAATATCTTTGTAGAGGATGTAAGTCAGATCTTAAGCACAGATGGAGTCCTTCACAGGATAAATGTCCACCAAAGCTTATTATAGGAATCTCTAACACTTTGCTTGCCAGAGGTAAGAGCAGATCCTAAAAGGGTTCAAGCTGCAGTTGCATTGGAAATGATGGTAAAAGGTAGTGGCTGGAGGGCCTTTCTGATGTCCTCTGACCACATGCTATCAGGAGCAGCAGTACATTTGTTTGTGGCTTTGCTGCCCTGAAGAGCCCTCCCTCTTACCTAGCACCTGAGTGCTGTTTGCTTCATCCTATTTTTAAATCTTGGCTTCTCCGAAATGTTCTGTCCCCGTTACCATCGTCGCTTGCAGCGTCTGAGCTCTTGACCTCACCAACTACCATTTGCTGCTGCTGCTCTTTGTCCATGAGTTGATATTTTTAGCCTTGGGAGTTTCCCAAGTTTAACATGTTTTTTTTTTGTTTTGTTTTTTTGGTTTTTTGGTTTTTTTTTTAATAATAGGAAGAAGTACAGAGAAAGGAGTTACAGTTCTGACCAATGTTTTTTGTTTGTTTGTTTTAATCTCAACAAACACAACTTTTATATTCACTAACAACTCATCTCAAGTATGAAATGGCAAATACTAAGTAGTCTGTGTTTGTGTTAGAACTTGAAGGGACAGTAAAACATCATACAACTTAGTAAAGGAATCGCTTGTAAAACATAAGCCTCTTATCCTTCATTATGCTCCATTGCTTTTATTTTATTAGGAAATACTCCATAAATTGGGTGGTATTGAAGACCTTGCTCAGGTAAGATTGGTTCTGTCGTAAGTGGCTTTGCCTTTACATTCTGGGTTAAGTTCTAGCCAAGGAATAAATAATCACGTAACAGTAGGCTAAACTAGGTGATCGGTTCTCTCTCAATATTTGTGCTTAACATGCCTCAGGTTAGAGTTAAGTGCAGTAGCCAAGAGATGATCTCTCAGCTTGTCTTTTTTTTTTAAGATTTATTTATTTATTTTATGTATGTGAGCACATTGCAGCTGTCTTCAGACACACACCAGAAGAGGGCATTGGATCCCATTACAGATGGTTGTGAGCCATCATGTGGTTGCTGGGAATTGAACTCAGGACCTCTGAAAGAGCAGTCAGTGCTCTTAACCACTGAGCCATCTCTCCAGCCCCTCAGCTTGTATTTAGAAGACACAGAAGGGGATTTGGTTGTGCTTGATCTCCCATCATATGATGCTAATTCTCAAGGCAGTCAACAAATGCTTGTGGTACATCTGCTGCCTGCTGGGGCAGGAGCAGATGGGGTTGATAACAGTGGCCCTGAGACATGACACAGGCAGAGAGTGATGAAAATACTGTTCTTGCTAATTAACCTCATTTACCCAGTCTGTTGGGGGAAAAAGTGCTGTAAAAAGTCACATTAAAAAATTTGCAGTTTTTAAAAATAAGTTTTGAAAACTCTTAAAATCAAATGTCTTAAGTTAATGATGACAAGATTATTGTCGTTGGCCAGCATTGGTTGGCCAGGCCACTTACCATGATATAGGGGAATATGAAGTCATTATAAAATATCCAGCCTTCACTAAGTATTTATTAGTAAAAGATAATGTAAGGAATGATCTTGATTTTAGGCTCTTTTTTTTGCATTGAAAATAATTTTCTAACAAGCTATTTTACTAGCCTCATGTTTTATAGTATCTTAAGTCATATTATGAGGAATGACTAACAGGTAACTATATAGGCTGAGCAACTATTCAACAACTTGGGTTATTAAGAGAATAAGAAACAATTTTAGGACATGTCATTGAGTTGGGATGCCCAGTCTCCTAAGGCCTATGGTAAGAATGGTGATTTTATTTTATTTATTTTTTTATTTATTTTAGTTTTATTTTTCAGGATAAGAGATTAGACAAGTACTCTACCATCAAACTCTATCCCAGCCTTTATGTTTACTTTTTGTTTTTTAAACTTTTGAGATGGATCTCACTATGGTGCCAAGACTGCTTCAAATTTGCATCTTCTTTCCTCAGCCCCTCTAATAGCTATAACAGGTCTATCCACATCTTGCTATTTTATCTTCTTATTTATTTTGCTCATTTATCCTTACATGAGAAATAGTCTCACCATGTAGCCCATGCTGGACTAAAACTTCACACAACTCGCTTCAGCTTCTTGAATGGTGAGTCCTGTGTTAACAGACAAGCAAAAGTATTCATGATACATTCATAGTCTTGAGAACTCATTCTGAGTGATTAATAGTGATCATGCCTAGTGGAAATGCTATGTTTGAATATGAAATTCCCCTACAGTCTCCTGTGTTGATACTTGGTGCCCAGTGGTGGTACTCCATGGAGAGTCAGTGGGAACCTTGAGGCAGGGATGAGCTGGAAGAAGTAGGGACCATGGAAAGCTGCCTGCCCTAGCCCCTTCCCATCATTCTCTTTGCTGCCATGAGTTGAGTTTCTTTTCTCTGCCTCACTTCCTTTACTTGTTTCTCTCAGTGTTTGTCACAGCTATGGAAACTGAACAAGCCAACTTAAATCCTGGGAAGATGATCCATGATCAGTTTTTTAAGTGTTTATTTATTTGTTTGTTTGTGTATATGTGTATGAGTGATCTGTGTTCCCACACATACAGAACAGGGCATCAGATCCTATTACAGATGGTTGTGAGCCACCATGTTGTTGCTGGGAATTGAACTTGGGACTTCTGGAAGTGCAATCAGTACTCTTACCCTTCTCTCTAGCCCCCTTGTTCGGCTTTTAAAGAGAAATCTAACTGAAGGTGTACCTCACAGAGTGAAGTGAATGTCCATATGTTGTAAAGGGCACCATCACTTTTTAACACCTGATTTCACACTGCCTGTGCATCTCCGAGCCTATTTCTTAAAGATTTTTGCTGCAAGGTAAATCAAAAAATCAGGTTACTGTGCATATCTTACATAAACTGCACCGTGAAACTACTCAGCTCAAGTCATTTTGGGATTTTTGAGGGCTTTCAGAATTCTTTCCACATTTTGGGCATTCAGGAAGAAACCATGAATCACTAAACCCTGTGTCCCACCCTTTAATGCCACAGGCCCAGAGGTACTGAGCAGTGCTTCGTTACCTTCCTGCCATCGGGGCTCATCCTAAGACCTGAACTCTTGTTTCCTATGTACTTGTGGTGCCAGCTTTCTGACTGGCTTGTTGGGTTGGTCTTTTATGCAGTACATGGAGATCGTGACCAACGAGTACCTGGGCTACGCTGAGGAGCAGCACTGTGTGGACAAGCTGGTCAACATGACATGTGAGCATTGTCACCAGGCACCCAGTGAACCCCGTGGGCTTGCTGGGGAAAGGAGTGTGACGTTTATTGCAGGAGATAGAACACCTGCTGTTCTTATTAGTGTTCCACTCACATGGTGTGTGCCTTTGTGCCAATGGTAGCACATGTCCGCACATCTCCCCATGGCAGCTCTTTCTTTGGCAAGCATATTTGTTTCAAGGAAGAAGTCTTTCATACAAGCAACATCTGCTGTAACGTTGAAAAAAAACCTTTAGATTTCTGTGAAAATGTCAGACTTCAGGTTTTTCCTTTTTTTGCCTCTCAAATTTGGGTAATAATTATACCTGGCTCATATAATTTGGACTACCAAGAACATGAGAAAGAAAACTGCGAACCTCTCCTCAAGTCAGCAGTATGGAGGCTGTGGCCTGGGTGTAAGGCATCATAGGTGTTCCTCTGGCTTCCTTAGAAAACTTGACCAGTTTCTCTTCCACCTCTCTCCTATTGCCCTTCATCCCACACCTCCCCCTTCCAGTCCCTCGAGGTGTGGTCAGCCACAGGCTTCCTGCTGCTTGGGGTGCCAGCTCAAGCCCATTGTATTTGTGTGGACAGACTGGTTTCTCATGCTTGCTGGCTGGGCACACACTGGCTCTCAGGAGCAGGGGAGATGCCAAGCACCGGGAAGTTACTTTGAGAACAGCTCTCTCAGTGCAGAAACCTTCCCAAGTTTTATGTTCTTCCTGGCCTCCCTGCTGTTTGTACACTGGGATATTTATGAGTAGGGTATTTTAGTTACATGCCTTGACCTTGTAATAAATAAAGTTCAGGAACCTGTTCATCTTTAAATACAAAGGGAGTTTGCTCTTGGGATGTTTTCAAATTTACTATACTAGATGAGTGTCTAGAGTTGAAATATGCAGTCCTGTCCTCCTCTGTTCCTTCTGTGAGTCTCTGCTCCCACTTTCTCTACTCTCCCATCCCTTCTGAGGACCCAGGGTTTCATGACTACTGCTATTTCAATCGCTTGATCTCCTTTGAATGATTTCTTTGTTTCATAGATATTTTTCAAAAACTTGCTGCTGTGAAAGACCAAAGAGAATGGGTCACTGCAAGTGGAGCCCACAAGGTGAGTGGGCCCAGAGTGCTCAGGTCCCACATGGCACTGTCCAAGTGCAGAGCCTGATTTCTCTACTCATCTTCTTATGTTCTTTACCAACACAGGGATAAATAAATGGTGTAGCATATGAAGGTTTTTATTTTTCTATTCTACTCCAGCTGAGTGCATTACTTAACTTTAATGTAGTAAATGGAACGGAGTTGTTTATTGTTTATTTATAGACAAATGAAATTCAGCAAGTAAAAGATATATGTCTACATATAAGCCTATCGGTCTTATAGGGTTTTATTAGTTAGACTCATATGATATCACCATTGTCTGTAAGTCAGAGATAATTGAATATAGCAATTCATAGGATGCAGACTCACAAGGTGGTATGGAATTATCAGCATATGGACCAAGTATTCATTTTAAGGGTTGAAGATTCGGTTCAGAGAATGGGCTCTGCATTCCCAGCAACACCTCTCTACCCCCGCAAACACACACTCACCCATGTCAGTGTGTATCTTAAAATAAATGAATGTTGGTTTAATGGTAACAGACTATATTTATTCTAACATTTATCAGGCAGATGTGGAGAGCTGATTTCAATAACTGATTGAGTCCTCTTACCTCAGGAAGCCATGTTATATACTGGATCACAACTGCCTAACCTGTGCTGCTTATGGTCTTACACTTATATCTAGTGACACACAGTGGATTTTACTTTAACAGACAGTGATTTTATTGATGCTACTTACAATTTGACAAGACAATAACGTTAAGTTCTTAAGTTGGCTCAGCAAAAATTTTGAAAATGATGTGTGTAGAATCGAAGTGTGTAAAACACATTACGTAATAGTGGAGATCAGGAAGGAGTCCCAGAACGATGCTAAGTTCAGCATAAGGAACTATAAAGGGACCCACAGGATGGAAACAGAAGTCCATCCCAGCAGGCAGTTACTCACAGAGCTCCCACAGCTTTGATGCGAGCATGTTTGGCAAGAATGTCTTGGGTTACAGGGGTCTGTGTTCTGAAAAATTGGAGGACAAAAATTTACATTAATGAAGATTCAGAGAAGGCATTATTAGCCAAGGAAAGCCATAATGGATTAAACAATTTGGTCCTAATTATAAAAAGGCTATTTTTTCAGTGGTTCTCAACCTGTGGATTGTGGCCCCTTTGAGGGTCAAATGACCCTTTCACAGAGGTCGCATATCAGATATTCTGAATATCAGATATTTACATTGGAATTCATAGTGGTAACATAATTACACTTATGAAGTAGCAAGGAAGTAATTTTGTGGTTGGGGGGGTCACCGTAACATGAGAAACTGTATTAAAGGATTATATCATTAGGAAGATTGAGGACCACTGGTTTAAGTGTGTAACCACTTTTGGGGAGAAAAATACAAATAATTATAAAATTATACATATAAATGCATACACACACATATATACATATATATATATACATGTATATATATATATGTATATGTATATAAAATTCTACTTGTGTACATACATTTTTTAAACTGAGCAAAAGAAAAGAATCCAGAAAAAAATAGCAGTGTCTATGATTTTTAGAAACAGTACGCACCATTCAAGAGGCTTCTGGAACTTTCATAATTATGTATTCTCTTCTCTTCTTCAGACATTAGTGAATTTACTTGGTGCCCGAGACACCAATGTCCTGTTGGGTACTCTTCTGGCACTGGCTAGCTTAGCAGAGAGGTAAGTGTATCTCAGTATACTCCTCTGTGCAGGAATTGCAGCATCGTAGATGGGAGAGATACAAACACACAGGCTATTCTGTCACCTGCTCAGTTAAAACCTGATGTGGGAGGCACATGGGGAGCAGCATAGGCTAAAGACTTACCTGGTTAGGAAGCACAACTTAAAATTTAAGTTAGAAAGAGATTTGCCCTTTCTGACTTTTGCTGTGAGGTTTCCAACTGCTGTTTGGAGGAACATCTCTGATGGTCTGTCTTCTTTCTTTGACCTTCAGAACTACTACATTTCTATGCTAGTTGAATCTCCCAGACCTTGTTTCTTTATTCTTAACAACTATACATTCCTTGTAACATATAGGGCATTTTCAATGACAAAAGTTGATTTTGAAAACCTATCCTTCTATAGTGTCATTATTTTAAATCAAAGAACAATAGATATGTTTTTATGTTAATTATTATGTTTTTGTGAACAGTACACCATTCCATTCCTTGTTTCACTATGGTCTCTCTTCACAACTCCTTACAAGGTATCTAAGTTACTTTAGGTGTGCTAAAACACCAAGGCAAATCATAGAAGAAAGAGTTTATTTGGGACTTATGGTTTCAGAGGGTGTGTCTATGACCATCATGACAGAGAGCATGGCACCAGATAGGCAGACATGGCATTGGAACAGTAGCTGAGAGTTAAAGTCTTGTGATACAACCATGAGGCAGAAAGAGTCTACTGAGGATTGTCTGAGTCTATTGAAACCTCAAAGCCTATACCCAGTGACAGACCTCCTCCAATGAGGCCATACCTCCTAATCCTTTCCAAATAATTCTACCAACTAGGGACCAGTTATTCAAATACATGTGCCTGTAGGGGCTACCTCGTTCAAACTACCACATAAAGTAATATGATCTCTTAGATACAGAAATGTGGCTGAGGTAGAATATGTTTTTAGTAACTACTAATATTTGTACACTTGCAGTCCAGAGTGTAGGGAGAAGATCAGTGAACTCAACGTAGTAGAAAATCTGTTGATGATTCTACATGAATATGACTTACTCTCCAAAAGGTAGGGTCTTATCATCATGAAAGTGCTTCTATGGCAGAACATGGCCTTTGTAGTAACTTGTATCTATGATCTTGGGCCATGGTCACTCAAATTGGCTCCAGAATAAAACTGTCTCTTATGTTCTCTCTCTCCCTCTCCCCTCCCTCTCCCTCCCCCTCTCCCTCTCCCCCTCCCCCTCCCTCTCGCGCCCCCCCCCTCCCTCTCCCTCCCACCCCCTCCCACTCCCTCCTCCCTCCTCCCTCTCCCTCCTCCCTCTCAAAAAAGCTGTTTTATTTGTGGTAAAAATGCTTCCTTAAAACATCATTATTTATATTTTTAATTAAATATCATGAATCAGCTTGGCAGTCTTTTTTTCCATTTAAGGCAATATGAAGAAGCTCACAGAGAGAAGTACACAGAACACAGTCATATAATCTTGTGATTGGATCATTATTAATTTTATCAAAAGAAGTTTACAAGAAGAAACTTTAAAGTTTTTTGTTTTTATTTATTTATTTTTGTTTTTTTTAGTTGTTTTTTTGGGGGGTTTCTTTTTTGGTAATTTCAGATTAATACATGGAATAAGGGAGGTTGCTAAAAGCTATTGGTTTAAGGTATGTGAGATAAGATGACTGACTTATGTTGTGATCACATGCTACAACCCTCAACCAAAACGGAAACACCGCCTTTAATCCCAGCACTTGGGAGGCAGAGGCAGGCAGATTTCTGAGTTTGAGGCCAACCTGGTCTAGAGAGTGAGTTCCAGGGCAGCCAGGGCTACACAGAGAAACCCTGTCTCGGGAAAAAAAAAAGAAAAGAAAACAAACAAACAAACAAACAAACAAAGACAGAAACCAAATCGGAAACACAATGGATTCCTTTCTGTTTAAGCTGTACATTGCTCTAGAGGAAGACTTTGTACAGGTGGAATTAGGTGTGTGCAGGCTTGCAAATCTGCACTGTTTGGCATTTAAATCACAATTTTCCGAGAAGCCAGGAGTGTAGAAATCCTAAGCAATGGAGACCTGATACTTGCAGCATTTTTTTCTATACCTTTTCAAAGCTGACTTAACACTGTTTTGCAAGAGTGTTGGCTTTCAGACTTGATGATTTGAACTCACTTATGGGGTAAGGTGGCAGATTCTATCACTGATGAGTAAGATCAGAGTGTACAGTGTGAGGTAGGGGCAGGCAAGGAGAACTCCTAAGGTCCTTGAAGGACTGTGGTGCCCTGGAAGATGCAGTCACCAAGGCTCAGCACAGAATCGATGTTCCTAACCAGAGTGAAGGGAGATAGAAGAAAATGTCTTAGCACAGAGTGTGCTGTAACATAGAGGCAGATCCGGGGTGTGTGAGAGGAATGTACTGGCAGGCTCAGCTGGGCCAGCGGAGGCTGTGTCAAAAACGAGAACAGTTCCTGATAAGTCAAAAAATGTAGCTAATTCTGATCAGTTCTTGTTCTACATCAAGATATTCCCTGAACCCTCACAAGTCCTCATTTTATCTACATAAAACTCTATTGTTCTTCATATTTTAAAGAGGAGGTAACATAACATGTTTATCCAGGTTTCTAGTATGGGTTTTGCATGGTAAGATGGTGTGGAGTTTTACTTGAGCATTATGGGAAATCACAGAAAAGAGGCAGGGTAGGAGTGGACTACATCCACATATCAAGATGTACTTAGCCCAAAGAGAGAATGTTTCTTGTAGAATGTTTGAAAAGATAAAACATGCTGCTTACCAAAGGACATACATTCTTTCTTGTTGTTTGTGACGGGTGTAATAAGCAGCCCTCTCTAGGCTGGTCTTGTTCTAATAGTGATCTTTCTGTCTGCCTCTTAAGTGCTGGGATAACAGACTTGAACCACCATTCCCCACAGGACACGTGTTCTTAACAACAGCTGGGAGGGGAGCGGGGCTTGAGAGTGAGGAGCATGAAGTTGTCTGGGAATGGAATTGCAGAACAGTGTGAGAATGCGAACCCTGGAGTGTTTAGGACAAAGGGGTGGAGCAAACACTAAGCTCCAGAAAGGAACAAACATGAAATTAACCTTCAGGAAATGAGCTTTATTAGAAGGCAGAGAGTAAATAAGGTGTGTGTGTGTATGAGTGTGTGTGTGTGTGTGTATTTACCTTATATATCAGAGGTAAATGTATATATATTTACTTTACCCAGGGTATGGGGAACTTGGCTGTAGCTCTGTAGCTAAAGGCAGTTACAGCATATAGAAGTCCTGATAGGATAGTAGGATGTAGGGACCAAAGCAACAGGGAGCTGGTTAAGACAGACCATAGGGGAGGTATATCTGATCTTAAAGTGGCAGGCTCTGAACTGACGGAGAGGTAATTGGCAGAGAGGCCCATCCATCACTCATGACCAAGGATCACAAGACGGGAAGAGCAGCGGCTCAAGTTATAGGTTCTGTGTCCGCATGGTAGCTCCAGTCTAAGTGTGATGTCACTGACACCTAGCTAGTGTGAATCTTACCCTTGCTCCCCTCACACTAGACTCACTGCTGAGCTCCTGCGCCTGCTTTGTGCTGAGCCCCAGGTGAAGGAGCAGGTAAAACTCTACGAGGGGATCCCCATCCTGCTCAGTCTGCTCCATTCTGACCACTTGAAGCTGCTGTGGAGTGTGGTCTGGATTCTGGTCCAGGTGTGTGAGGACCCAGAGACCAGTGTAGAAATCCGTATCTGGGGTGGCATCAAGCAGCTCCTTCATATTTTACAAGGGTAAGTAGGGGCTTGGATTTCAAAAATTAGTAGAATATTCTAGTAGACTTTGTTCATTTGTTTGTTTTGAGACAAGGTTTCTCTATATAAGCCTGGCTGTCCTAGATGTCACTATGTAGACCAGGTTGGCCTAGAACTCACAGAGGTCCACCTGCCTCTGCCTTCACAGCACTGGGATGACATATATATATGCCTCCTGTCTTAGTTAAGGCTTTATCACTCTGGGAAGGCACCATGACCATAGCAACTCTTATAAAAGAAAACATTTAATTGGGGCTGGGTTATAGTTCAGAGGTTAAGTCCCTTATTATCATGGTGAGAAGCATGGCTGCATCATGGAGCTGTCATGGAGCTGGAGAAGGAGCTGAGAGTCTACATCTGGACCCACAGGCAGCAGGAAGAGAGAAACACTGGGCCTGGCTTGAGGATTTGAAACTCCAAAGCCCAACCCAGCAACATACTACCTTCAACAAGACTATATCTATTCCGACAAGGTCATATGTCCTAATCATTTTAAATGGATAATGCCACTCCCTATGAGCCTATGGGAGCCATTTTTATTCCAACCACCTCATCTTTACCCCCGGTTTTTAGTAGCTTCTAATGCCATAAGCATAAAAAGAGATGGTTCGTTAAAATAGTTTGAAGTTGAAAATTTTGGGGTATATATTGCATTGTAACTATATTTTATGAATTAAGTATCTTGAAGAATTGAGTAATAGCACAAATTGGTACCATGTTTGAGAGCATTCTATTATTTAATATTATTATAGAGCATAATTCAGCCCTAAAGGTGTCAAGTCAGAGCTACAGATAGATCTTTCTGCTCAAAAGAGACCACCATGCTTATGATCTCTGGTCTATCAATAAAGCTCATTCCAAGCTCTAGGCAGATTGGTTCATCCATTTTAACATCACTGTAGATTATCAAATCAATATGACTAAGACTACATGCTATTTCTTTATAGAATTTCTCTGTGGGAATATTTCAGAGCATTAGCAAAGACTGCAGAGATATGAACAACACGCTTCATTAGTGGTTTCTGCCACTGGGAAAACAAAGGAAAAGTATATAGCTTGGTGATAATCCCCTTGTTTTTACAAAAGCCTCAGTTACTTGGAGGTATAGATTATAATAAATATTTCACCAGTCCCATGACATAGTAGGCTATGCCCTTGGTCAGAATAACTGCAAAGGTTGTGTGTGTTTATAGGATGAAGATGGTGGGTGGAGTTATTCTTGAATAGTTGCTATGTTCTTAATGATGTCTGGAATTCTATAATTGTTAAGTGTTATTTAGATTTAACTATAACATAAGGCACTTTCCCCTCATTTGTTTGAGCCATAGTTTTTATATCACTGAAAGGTAGGAGTTCTTCCTGGCTAAAAACTCAGTTTCCAACCCCATCCATGGTATGGTGTTAGAAAACTTGTCCCCAGGAAGGTGATATATGTCAACTCCTGTTGGATGTTTAATATATCTGGGTATTTGGAAGGACTTATTCCTTGCTGGGCACATTCTGGTTGCTGCTGTCCCCTGGTGTAGGCGCAGCCTGGTGGCTGTGGCTATAGTGTTCACCGGCTGCTATTGCAGGGCAGTTTTCTAAAGGGCCATTTAGGCTCATACACCTGCAGACTCCAACAGCAGGCACATTCCTGATCAGGCACAGTGATCACAACAGAGAGCTCCAAGATAATTATGTCCACAGATAAGACCATCAAAGGAACTGTTCCTTGCCCCAGCTCATGACAGAAAGAACAGAATGACCCAGATAGCATGGATATTCTATTTGTGTTATGTGTGAGAACGTACAGACCCAAACAGCTGATGTCATGAGAAATAAATAAATAAAGTAACCATATAAACCAAAGGGAGCAAAACCAGATAAGACAGAGAATCTGTGGTGGGAAGCTGTGCACCCAGGGCACAGCAGATGTACTGCAGAGCACAGATTTGTGAGCTGTGGTTGAAGATGAGTAATTTAGCTAGAAGGGAGGAAGTCACACAGCCAAGGTGGAAAATGATGCCTGGGTGATGACCACAGACAGCCCTGCAGACTAGAAGACCCGACCAGGCCTGGAACAGCCAGAGGGAGAGGTTTAAAACTGTGCTTTCAACCAGAGGGAAGAGAAAAGAGAACAGACAGAAATGGCTGATAGGGCCAGGGACAGGTGAAGGCAGGACTTCAAGCTGTGCTTATGGAGACTCCTGTGGTAGGGGTCAAAAAGGCAATACAGTTTAAAGACTCAGCAGGATTGGTTTTCACTAAGAGAGATTTGTAAGGGTGGGGCTGAGAGGAGAGGAAGGATGGAGGCCATGCTAGGAGCATAGGGACATAAAGAGAACAAACAAGCAAACAAATAAACGAACTCAGAAGTGTTCTGATTGAGGTGCACCCACACAAAGACTGCAGTGCCCCCAAGAGTTCAGGCATGAGGGTCAAAGAAGGTTGGTCAGGGCCTTGCCTCTCACACTGCACACCAAACGTGGTTTTAACTGAATTTGCAGATGAAGCAATTAAGAACATAGAAAACCTCATGACCCAGAGGTGGCAAAGGTTTCTACGAATTTGTTTACTATACAAAATTCGAGGTTTTTTTTTTTTTATGTCCTTTTCGTTGTGTTTGAGGCACAGAAGAAAAAGAATATATGGTCTGAACAGTAGCCTTCCTTTTGTAGAGACAGACATTTTGTCTCTGACCGTTCCTCCATCGGAAGCCTGTCCAGTGCAAACGCTGCGGGCCGCATTCGGCAGCTTCACTTGTCAGAAGACTTAAGCCCTGGGGAAATCCAGGAAAATACTGTCTCTCTCCAAGCAGGTATCTGTCTTACAAGACTGACTTTTGTTACTTAAGGCTGCGTTCTTTATTATTGTGTTGTTATTCCTTGTTATAACATTAGTATGGCGGTGTGGTGTGTACACGATTTACAGGGTTCCCAATGTGTAATGGTAAAAACATGTGAATGCCAGAGCCTTCTTCAGTACAGGTCTTGGGTGGGAAGGTTAACCACACAAAGATGTGTGTGATCTCTGCTATGGCTGGGTTAAAGCACACAGCTTTGTCTGGGCCAGAACCACGCTTCCTACAGTTTCCTTGATCTTAGAACATCCTATTTAATACAAATGTCCCACCTCGCATAGGGGCAATGAGTCTTCTTCCACATGTCAGTTCCAAGGAGGAGAGAGAGTTGACAAATGCATGGCTTTTTCAAAGGAAGCAAAAGGCAAGCTGACTAAGTTTGTCCCTGGTAGAGCTTCCTCTGGCAAGCACCTGTCAGGGTGCCAGACCTCAGGGCTTAGTAGAACAACTATGCAGTGTGTGTGCTTCTGGTCAGCCTGGACCGCAGAGCAGCCTGGGAAGGAGCAGAGGGTTCTGGAGGGTATTGGAGCTTGGGGAGGCACTGAGACATAGAACAGGTGTGGCAGAAAGCAATGGCATAAAACTGGCTTGCATTGTTTACAGCTATTTCCTACTGAAGAATGAGGAAGTCTCCTCAGAGATGCATAAGGGCAGAAAACTAAGATCCTTTTTCTCTTTGATGTCTGTGAGAACTTAGAATGCCCTCTACATCTCCACAGTCTTGTGCTGGGTTACCTGGTTAAAGGTCCCCCAGAGTCCATATTAGCTGCTTTCAGAGCTCCTGGACCTCTGGGTGTTCTTAGAGTGGTACAATTGGTGGTGACCACAGTGTGATTATAGGGAGAGCCAGTGCCTAGAGAGGGATACAAGAGACCTGGAGGCTGGAATTTCCTATGCATTCTGCTCAGTGGGTTACCCAGGGGACACATAGATAGTCTTCTGGAGCTGTATATATTACATGGGTTTGCTTGACACCACCCGTTTCACATATAAGTAAGAAAGATAAGCAGCCAGTGGCATCTGAGGATTTCCCTCCATCTAGGCCATGTGTCTTTAGCCATGTTCCTCAAGATCATAGCCTTTAGCTTTGCTCATGTGAAACATTGATGGTAAGTCAGATATTATAGCCAAAAGGGCATTCTGGGAATTAAGTGGTGATGGATGGAAGAGTTCAGGATAACACATCCGCGGAAGGGCTCAGGAGGAAGAATTGTGTTTCAGTGTACAGTGCCACGAGAGGCAGCCAGGGAGCAGGAGGGGCTTAAGACTCCTGGGCCTATGAGTGGCAGTCTGTTACTCTTTGAAACGAAGAGCACAGTCTGATCACCAGGGACTGCATTGAAAGCAGTCATTCATTTACCTGCCAGTGTGTAGTATTCCTGATGAGTTTTGGGTACATGTTGGATATTGGGGATTATACAGATTTGGTTGCTTCCCTTCCAGCCTGCTGTGCTGCACTCACTGAGCTGGCCCTCAATGATACCAATGCCCACCAAGTGGTTCAGGTAAGAGCATCATAATCTATCCTGTTGGGTTATATGCATTCCAGAACATTGGCTTGAGGACCCATCATGCAGTTTAAAAAATATTTTAACATTTCTTCTCATTTAGCTTATAGAATTCCATTTTATAGTCTTGTCCTTCCTCAGTTAACTTGGTTGAATCATGCTCCAGTTTGCTTTCCTGGTATGAAGAAACACTGACTAATAGTAGCTTCAGGCAGGAGAGGGTCTAACTGGCGTATTCTTCAGATAACAGTCCATCACTGAGGGAAATCAGAGCAGGGACTCAAGGCAGGAAACCTGGAGGCAAGAACGGAAACAGAGGTCATGGAAATATGCTGCTTCCTGGCTTGCTCCCCCTCGAGTGTGCTCAGCCTGCTTTTTTATATAACCCAGAGCCAGCTGCCTCAGGGTGGCACTACCCACACTGTGCTGGACCCTCCTAAATCAATTAACAATCAAGAACATGTACCACACACACTCACAAGCTAGGCAGTTATATGAGGGATGTGCCAACTTGGTAGCTGAAGCCAAACATTACTTAGAAAGGCTGTGTGAGGCTGGCTAATGCTGGTACCTCCTCTCTGCGTCAGTAGCAGTCCTTTTCATTTGAGCTCTTGTTGGGCTAATTCCCTCTTGATGAGTTTTACAGAGGGAAAGAAAGATACCTACAACTTCCTCTTCAGAATACACGGTGGAAGTGGGGGTGAGATAAATCCATGGGCAGCCTGGCTGGTGGGAAGAACAGCCAGGTTGACCACAGTTCCTGGCTGGCCAGCTTCACTACCCCTGAAAATGGCTTCACCTGTCATGAATTTACCTACGAATAAAACAGAGTTATAAGATGAGCTATAGCACAGCTGCAGCTATAAAGGTTAGAGTCAGCGAGGCAGACAAGATGTCCACACAAACATACATTGATCGCTGGCAGAAAGCTGAAACAGGCTTCTGTTTCATTCACCTCCACGCGTACGTTGGAGTAAGTCCAAAACAGTGCCGTTTCCACAGTTAACTTGATTTCTCTAGAAAGTCTGTCCATGTCATTTTTCCTTTCCTTAAAAAGACCTATTTTACAATGGTCAATTGCTGGGTATCCTCTAATTATCCAAAGCAGAAAGGGAGAAACTATGCTTTACAGTTTGAAATTGGTATTTTGCTATATATGTACACTTGTGTTTTTATGTGTCTGTTTGTTTGTGTGTGTGGGTGTGCAATGCATGTGTATGTCAAGGCCAGAGGTAGTGTTCATTAGGAGATATCCACCTTAAAAAAATTAAGATAAAGCAAACAATGCATGTATGAGTTTGCCTATGAGTTTGTGCACATGATAGCACTTGTGCCTGCTGAGCCAGAAGGGGGCACTGCATTCCTGGAGCTGGAGTTACAGGTGTCTGTGAGTCACCAACATGAGTGCTAGGAACCAAACTCTGGTCTTCTGCAGGAACAGTATGTGCTTTAAACTGTGTGCTGAGACAGGGTATTTCCCTGGCATAGGGCTCACTGACTCAAGTAGACGGGCTGGCCGGTGATGCCCAGGGAGCCTCCTGCCTCTGCCACTTCAGTGCTGGGATTACCTTCAGCTCTGGGGACTGAACTCAGGTCCTCAAGCTTGTGTGGCAAGCACATCACTGACTATGCTGTCACTCCAGCCCCATAGTTTAAATAGAAAGATGTTTGAATTGCTTTGCTTGTTCATGTTCTCCGTCCCTTGTTTTTGTAACATTTAAATCAATTCAAATTTATGTAGATAATTATGTAATATTATTATATAATTCTGCAGCCTTTGGCACTTAAAAGTCTTTCTTTGTCATTTTCAGTATTATTTTTCCTGTTTGTTTACACTACTGTGAGGGCACTTTACTGCTTCTGAACTGTTTGTCTCTATTGCTAATGGTCACTGATACATGATCTCTTTATTTTTCCAGGAAAATGGTGTATATACAATAGCAAAATTAATTTTACCAAATAAACAATCAAATGCAGCAAAAACTAATCTACTACAGGTAATAAGCCTATCAGTTGCTCTTTATCTCAACATATTGAGATGTAAGGAGCCTGTGATAAAATGGTGTGTACTTTTGCGGATTGTTTAGGTTAGCAATGGGCCTTATGCTGATGATAAGGACTGTGCTTGGGAATGGAGTCTGTGAAAACCAGTGACTACAGAAAGCATGAAAGACTGAGAGAGAGAGAGAGAGAGAGAGAGAGAGAGAGAGAGAGAGAGAGAG